CCTCGCACACCACGTGGTCTGCCCGCACGCACAGACGGAGGAGTTCGTTGCAGCCCACACGGACCGGGCAGATCGGATGTGTCTGGCTACGTACAGTGCCAAATAAATTCAACACACACACGTACATACTGCCCATAGACTCACACACTGCCCATAGACTCAACACTGCCCATAGACTCACACTGCCCATAGACTCAACACTGCCCATATCCATAGATCAACACTGCCCATAGACTCAACACTGCCCATAGACTCAACACTGCCCATAGACTCAACACTGCCATAGACTCAACACTACCCATAGACTCAACACTACCCATAGACTCAACACTACCCATAGACTCAACACTACCCATAGACTCAACACTGCCCATAGACTCAAACACTGCCCATAGACTTAACACTGCCCAGAGACTCAACCCTGCACATAGACTCAACACTTCCCATAGACTCAACACTGCACCTCCGCTTAGCACAGTTGGCTACGTACAGAGCGAATGAAGCCCCACGCACACAACGCGCACACACCATCCACTGTCGAGGCACGCACCCGCGAACTTGACGGGAACTTGTTTTCGGGTCTCAGGATCTGCACGTAGAGTGGGCCAGCCCGGCGCAAAGTCTTTCACGGCCCACGCCCGCAGGATGGTTTGCTGGTCCTGCAGGAGTAAGGGTTCTTAATGCCAGGGGGTGGGGAACCTTTTTTCTGCCAAGGTCCATTTGGATATTTAGACCATCATTCGCGGGGCCGTACAAAATGATCAAATTAAAAATTAGCCCGTTATATTTGGTCAAACATTTAATTAACTCGCCCCTAATGCGATGGCTGGAACTGCTTCTCTTTGCGAGGCGAGCGATGTTAGCTGGCATTGATGATGTTGCTACTCGCAACTGATTTTTCGAGGTTTGCTCCGAGATTTATTGAATTTCGAGTCCCGCCTGCGGTTGCCTTGGCAGGGCCAGACCACCCCTGATGTACGCACACCGCGGTACAGGGTGAAGGCGGGAGGCAAAGTAGCCTGCACCTCCGCCTAAAGGAGGCTCCGGTGACCTCGAAGGTGTTTGGCCGACCCACTAGGAGGGACCTCACGGAGCAGCTCCGCTCACGTCAACCTCATTCGTTCCACGGGAGGAGGTCGCTCCCTCTCGCGTTCTGCTCCTGCTGTCTGGAATTATCCCCCACCTCCTCCTCCTCCTCTTGAACTCGGCGTGGTTGAGGCCCTGCCGTCCTGGTTCAGGTCGAGACTTAAGACCCCCCCTCCCCGATTGTTTTCATCTGCATCAGTGGCTTTTGGGGCCGTCCATAAATGACGTCACTCGATTTTGGACGATTTTTGACCCCCCCCCCATCGTCACACGGCGTCACAAAAAGTCAAACCCCTGAAATATGACGTCACAAAGCTCTGCCCCCCCCCCCCCCAAAATAATAAAACATGCTTCAAATCGCTTTAAACTATTGTCATTGTAGTGCGTATTTAATGTGGCGCTGCACTCTGATGTTGTAGGAGAAACTTGTATTAAAATGTCTATTTAATTAAGTAGAACGTGTTGTCTATATTTATTTAAAGTTGCGCATTTGATGCGACGTCACATTTTTCAAACCCCCCCCACCCTCGTCACACATCGTCACACATCGTCACAAATGTCTGACGCCCCTCCCCCCTAGGTGCGTGACGTCATTTATGGACGGCCCCTTTGCCTTTCTCCCTGCAACCCCCCCACCGCCCACCAAGCATCTGAAGATGCGGCTGGCATTGAGACGCTGCGACCTGAGCGTCCATTGCGTCTCACCGCTGCCCCCCTCACACAGGGGCTCTGCCCCGGCCCGACTCGCGTCACGCGGCTCTGCGGAGACTCCACAAGAGGGTCGGCCGATGCCGGACACAGCGAGCGGCAAAACAACTCGGAGACACCGCGGTTCGAAACTGACCCGCTACACACACACGCGCGCGCGTGACGGACATCACGGATCACGAGCGGCTCCCACCCTGCCCCCCCCTACCGGGAGGCGGTGCTCACCGCGGCGATGCGATCCTCGTTGCGGCTGGTCAGCACGAAGCACACCTGGGCGCTGTCGATCCTGCAGCCGCCGCGGGACAACACAGCAGGTGGGACAACACAGCCGGTGGGACAACACAGCCGGTGGGACAACACAGCCGGTGGGACAACACAGCCGGTGGGACGCCCATTCCGTTCAGAATGACGACGACTTTGGCACTTGGGAGAACGATTTTAAAAGATAACGGAACGAACAAGCTCTCCACACCTAGAGATGAGGATGCTCAGATGGAGCCTCGGGCTCACTCGATGGGATTGTGTCAGGAACGAAGACGTTCGGAAGCGACTTGGTGTGGCCCCCCATTGCGGACAAGATGCTTGAGGCAAGGCTTCGGTGGTACGGCCATGTGATGCGAAGTGAAGAGTCATCAGTGGCCAAGACTGCCGTGCGTATTGAGCCAGAGGGCCGCCGTCCACGCGGACGTCCGAAGAAGCGATGGATGGACCGAATAAAGGAAGACATGAAGACGGTCAACGCATCCCCTGAAGATGCCCTGGACCGAGCCAAATGGAGAAGACAATGCCGAAAAGCGGACCCTGCGCCACAGCGGGAACAACGCTAGGAAGAAGAAGGACGAACCCGTGTGATTGTCCCACGCAGCGGCACGGAGACACACGGAGACGTGGAGATGGACCACAGACACGGAGACACACGAGAGACACAGAACGAGACACACGCAGAGACACACGGAGACATACGCAGAGACACACAGACACGGAGACACACGCAGAGACACACGCAGAGACACACAGACACGGAGACACCTGCAGAGACACACAGACACGGAGACACCTGCAGAGACACACAGACACACAGACACACGCAGAGACACACAGACACGGAGACACTTGCAGAGACACACAGACACGGAGACTCATGCAGAGACACAAACACACAGACACACGCAGAGACACACAGACACAGAGACACTTGCAGAGACACACAGACACGGAGACTCATGCAGAGACACGCAGACACGGAGACACACGCAGAGACACACAGACCCGGAGACACATGCAGAGACACATGCAGAGACACACAGACACATGCAGAGACACACAGACACGGTGACTCATGCAGAGACACACAGACACGGAGACACCCGCAGAGACACAGACACGGAGACGCATTCAGAGACACACAGACACGGAGACACACGCAGAGACACACACACGGAGACACACACAGAGACACACAGACACGGAGAATCATGCAGAGACACAGACACGGAGACACCTGCAGAGACACAGACACGGAGACGCATTCAGAGACACACAGACACGGAGACACACGCAGAGACACACACACGGAGACACACACAGAGACACACAGACACGGAGAATCATGCAGAGACACACAGACACGATGCACTCACGCCACCCGATGTCGTTGTTGTCGATGCGAGATCGGCGTGAGCGAAGGAACGTGAATTCACTCTCTGCTACAATGCATTCCCACCCACCCACCCAGCCACCCACCCACCTAGCCACACACCCACCCAACCACACACCCACCCAGCCACACACCCATCCAGCCACCCACCCAGCCACACACACACCTAGCCACACACCTGCAACACCCACCCCCCATCCAGCCACCCACCCAGCCACACACACACACACCCACCACACACCCACCCACCCACACACCCAACCCCCCAACACCCACGCCACACACCCCACCCCACACCCCACCCAGTCCAGCCACCCACCCCAGCCACCCCACACACCCACCCACCCACACACCCACCCAACACACCCACCCACCCATCCAGCCACCACCACCACCCACACATCCACACACCCACACACCCACAACACCCACACACCCAGCCACCCAAACACCCAGCCACCCACACACCACACACCCAGCCACCCACCCAGCCACACACACAACCTAGCCACACACCCGCAAACCCACCCACCCATCCAGCCACACACCCAGCCACCCACCCAGCCACCCACCTAGCCACACACACACCCAGCCACACACCTGCAAACCCACCCACCCATCAGCCACCCACACACCCACCACTCTACCCACACACCCACCCACACACCCACCCCACACCCACCACCCAGCCACACACGCACCCAGCCACACACCCACACACCCACCCACCCACAACACCCACCTACACACCCACCCCACACCCACCCACCTAGCCACACACACACCCACCCACCCACACACCCACCCACACACCCAGCAACCCCCCACACACCCAACACACCCACCCCAGCACCACCCACCCACACCCACCCCCAGTCACACACCCACACACCCACCCACCAGTCACACATCCACACACATACCCAGCCACACACCCCAGCCACACACCCAGCCACACACACACCCATCCACCCACACACCCAGCCACACACCCAGCCACCCACCCACACACACACCCCACACCACACACCCACCACCCACACACCCACCCATGGAAACCACCCAGGCGGGCCCCACAGCGAGTCTCTGGCTCTGCGTGGCCGGGGGTGACAGCGAGCGGTGCAGCGAGAGGGAGGGCGGGGTGCACCACTCGGCGGTGGGGTTGGGGGGAGCGTTTGGGGGGGTGGGGGGAGGGGTTGGGGGGGAGCGGTTGGGGGGTGGGAAGGGGTTTGGGGGGTGGGGGGGTTAGGGGGTGGGGGGAGGGGTTGGTGGGGTGGGGGGAGGGGTTAGGGGGGAGAGGTTGGGGGTGGGGGGAGGGGATTGGGGGGGTGGGGGGGAGATGTTTGGGGGGGTGGGGAGATGTTTTGGGGGGGTGGGGGGAGATTTTTGGGGGGGTGGGGGGAGGGGTGTTGGGGTTTGGGGGATGGGGGTTGGGGGGAGGGGGTTGAGGGGAGGGGTTGTGGGGGGTGGCCATCCCGTACTTGGCGCGTGCCAGGTCCTGGTCCCCTGAGGCCGAGCCTTGCCACGTAGATGGACGCGCTGGTACCACATGGGGATCTGCAGGACGTGGCGAACCTTGCGGGTCCATCTCCGACGGCAGAGGATCACACGAAGCAGTCCTGCGGCACGGGGGGGGGGGGGGTGGGGATGGGGGGGTGGGAGATTGTATGGGTAGGGGTAAGTTGGGCAGGGGTTGGGGATCAGAGCGTGATGGTGAGAGAGGGAGTGTGAGTGAGGGAGTGTGATGGTGAGTGAGGGAGTGTGATGGTGAGTGAGGGAGTGTGAGTGAGGGAGTGTGATGGTGAGTGAGGGAGTGTGAGTGAGGGAGTGTGATGGTGAGTGAGGGAGTGTGAGAGAGGGAGTGTGATGGGGAAAGAGGGAGTGTGAGTGAGGGAGTGTGATGGTGAGTGAGGGAGTGTGAGAGAGGGAGTGTGATGGTGAGTGAGGGAGTGTGAGAGAGGGAGTGTGAGGGTGAGTGAGGGAGTGTGATGGTGAGTGAGGGAGTGTGATGGTGAGGGAGTGTGAGAGAGGGAGTGTGATGGTGAGTGAGGGAGTGGAGGAGGGAGTGTGATGGTGAGAGAGGGAGTGTGATGGTGAGTGAGGGAGTGTGATGGTGAGTGAGGGAGTGTGAGAGAGGGAGTGTGATGGTGAGTGAGGGAGTGTGAGAGGGAGTGTGATGGTGAGAGAGGGAGTGTGAGTGAGGGAGTGTGAGTGTGAGTGAGGGAGTGTGATGGTGAGTGAGGGAGTGTGAGTGTGAGTGAGGGAGTGTGATGGTGAGAGAGGGAGTGTGAGTGTGAGTGAGGGAGTGTGAGAGGGAGTGTGATGGTGAGTGAGGGAGTGTGAGTGAGGGGTGTGATGGTGAGAGAGGGAGTGTGAGTGTGAGTGAGGGAGTGTGATGGTGAGTGAGGGAGTGTGAGAGAGGGAGTGTGAGTGAGGGAGTGTGAGTGAGGGAGTGTGATGGTGAGTGAGGGAGTGTGAGTGAGGGAGTGTGAGTGTGAGTGAGGGAGTGTGATGGTGAGTGAGGGAGTGTGAGAGAAGGAGTGTGAGTGTGAGTGAGGGAGTGTGAGAGAGGGAGTGTGATGGTGAGTGAGGGAGTGTGATGGTGAGTGGGAGTGTGATGGTGAGTGGGGAGTGTGATGGTGAGTGAGTGTGATGGTGAGTGAGGGAGTGTGATGGTGAGTGAGGGAGTGTGATGGTGAGTGAGGGAGTGTGATGGTGAGTGAGTGTGATGGTGAGGAGGGAGTGTGAGAGAGGGAGTGTGATGGTGAGTGAGGGAGTGTGATGGTGAGTGAGGGAGTGTGATGGTGAGTGAGGGAGTGTGATGGTGAGTGGTGTGGGTGAGTGAGGGGTGTGATGGTGAGAGAGGGAGTGTGATGGTGAGTGAGGGAGTGTGATGGTGAGTGAGTGTGATGGTGAGTGAGGGAGTGTGATGGTGAGTGAGGGAGTGTGATGGTGAGAGAGGGAGGGGTGTGATGGTGAGTGAGGGAGGGGAGTGATGGTGAGTGAGGGAGGGGGGGGGTGATGGTGAGTGAGGGAGGGGTGTGATGGTGAGTGGGAGTGTGATGGTGGTGAGGGAGGAGTGAGATGGTGAGTGAGGGAGTGTGATGGTGAGTGAGGGAGTGTGAGAGAGGGAGTGTGATGGTGAGAGAGGAGTGTGGTGGTGAGTGAGGGAGGGGTGTGATGGTGAGTGAGTGTGATGGTGAGTGAGGGAGGTGTGAGTGAGGGAGTGTGATGGTGAGTGAGGGAGTGTGGGTGAGTGAGGGAGTGTGATGGTGAGTGAGTGTGATGGTGAGTGAGGGAGTGTGATGGTGAGAGAGGGAGTGTGATGGTGAGTGAGGGAGTGTGTGGTGAGTGAGGGAGTGTGATGGTGAGTGAGTGTGATGGTGAGTGAGGGAGTGTGATGGTGAGAGAGGGAGTGTGATGGTGAGTGAGGGAGGGGTGTGATGGTGAGTGAGGGAGGGGTGTGATGGTGAGTGAGTGTGATGGTGAGTGAGGGAGTGTGATGGTGAGTGAGGGAGTGTGAGTGAGGGAGTGTGATGGTGAGTGAGGGAGTGTGAGAGAGGGAGTGTGATGGTGAGTGAGGGGAGTGTGATGGTGAGTGAGGGAGTGTGAGTGAGGGAGTGTGATGGTGAGTGAGGGAGTGTGAGAGAGGGAGTGTGATGGTGAGAGAGGGAGTGTGATGGTGAGTGAGGGAGTGTGATGGTGAGTGAGGGAGTGTGATGGTGAGTTAGGGAGTGTGATGGTGAGTGAGGGAGTGTGATGGTGAGAGAGAGGAAGTGTGAGAGAGGGAGTGTGATGGTGAGTGAGGGAGTGTGATGGTGAGTGAGGGAGTGTGATGGTGAGTTAGGGAGTGTGATGGTGAGTGAGGGAGTGTGATGGTGAGTGAGGGAGTGTGAGAGAGGGAGTGTGAGTGTGAGTGAGGGAGTGTGA